GCACTGAGTTCAGTGATGGCCAGAGTTATAAGAATGAGAGATGCAATGTACGTCATCCTTGCTGCAATGCAACATGCTAAGTACTAGTGATAGCCTTTACTCTGCACACTGATCATCCCACAGCTTTGTTACATCACAGCTCATGATCTCACAATGACATTATTATTCAACCTGAAAATTTTCAACTGAGCCAGTTCTCCCTTTTCCGTAATGTTACAAAATTAAAGTCAGCAATCTACTATATCTAATTATCAGTTAATTCCAATATTATCATGTGCTGTATTTGTTGATTACTTCCAGACAGAATATAACGTTAATCCTAACTATTTTAACACATATTAATGCAACTTGAATTTTCAAGGAATAAAAAAATATGAATCAATAAAAGTCTTATATTGATACAATTTAACTGAAACAAATGAGACTTCATTAGAATACACATAATTATTTTAATTTAAGACCATTCACATTATCCAGATGTATATCCTCGTTGACATCTCCACCTCTCATCCTACATCTCTTCAACTTGCGGTTTGCTGTTTAAAGTTTTGGTTTTGTTGATCAGGATTTTCTCACTCTGTTTTTGCAACAAGAGGCGCAGAAGCAGCAAGACAGGAATATGGTTATGACCAACATTCCAGATACAAATGTAGCCATGGAAATCATTATAATTCTGAGAGAGCTGTCCAGATTAGGCTTGTTCTCTTGCTCAATTGTTATTTCCTCTTCCTTTGAATTCATTTGAAACTTTTCATCCACGTTTAAGGTAATCGGTATAGCACTGAGTTCAGTGACTGCCAGAGTTATAAGAATGAGAGATGCAATGTACGTCATCCTTGCTGCAGTGAAACCCGCTGAGTGTCAGTGATAGCCTTTACTCTGCACACTGATCATCCCACATCTTTGTTACATCACAGCTCATGATCTCACAATTACTTTTCTGTCCTGACTGAAGGTTTTCCATTGAGTGAAGGACGGGTCTCTATTCAATATAAAGATACAATTCCAGTCATTTAAACTAAACTTCTTCATTTACATTTAATTGAAATAAATAATATCTTTTTATTAAATGTACTCTTTATTTTTTCAGATTGAAGCTTCCGATTCTTCCAGATAAACGATTAGTATAAAATGTGTCTCTTTCAGGCAGAAAAACAAGATATATAGATTTATCAGCATTTTCCGCTTTCCACAGAATTACAAAAATAAAGTCTGAAATCTACTTTATCTAATTACCAGCCAGTTCCCAAATTATTATATATGTATTTCTTGATAATCTTCCAGATAGAATATAATATTAATCAAAATTATATATATATATTTTTTTAAATCTTTATTTTTGTGTTGACAGAGACTGAAACAGTGTTCCATAATAAAATCTGAAATCTGCTATATCTAATTATCAGTCAGGTACAACATTATTATGTGCTGTGTTTGTTGAATTTTTTGTTAGATAGAATATAATGTTAATCATACCCATTTTAACAATATATTAATACATCTTGGTTTCTCAAGCAGTAATATAAAATATGAAAAAAATCTTATATTGAAACAATTTACAGACTTTAAATATGTAAAGGAATACTATAGCATTTTGAAATACAAACGTGTTTCTAATGCTATAGTGCCTCTGTCCCTAGCTCTATTCATGACCCCCACCCCCCAAATTTGGGACTTAAAGTAAATTTTCGTCATTTTGACAACTGGGATTTTATCATTGTGTTTTTGTAATATTTTGAACATGCAGTAGCAACACATAAATGTTCAAATGGACAATATCAATTAAGCCAATACTCCCTTTTCAATGAAGTTACGAAATTAAATACAGAAATCTATTAAATCTAATTATTTGACTCTCAGATATGAAGTGCACCGCAGGACGCAAATGTACTATTTAGCATTAGCACCCAAAACAATTAGAATTTTTCAAAGTGCGCTGTAAGCACAGTATTTGACGGTTCTATTTGACTCTCAGATATGAAGTGCACCGCAGGACGCAAATGTACTATTTAGCATTAGCACCCAAAACAATTTGAATTTTTCAAAGTGTGCTGTAAGCACAGTGTTTGACGGTTCTATTTGACTCTCAGATATGAAGTACACCGCAGGATGCAAATGTACTATTTAGCATTAGCACCTAAAACAATTTGAATTTTTCAAAGTGCGCTGTAAGCACAGTGTTTGACGGTTCTATTTGACTCTCAGATATGAAGTACACCACAGGACGCAAATGTACTATTTAGCATTAGCACCCAAAACAATTAGAATTTTTTCAAAGTGCGCTGTAAGCACAGTATTTGACGGTTGTATTTGACTCTCAGATATGAAGTGCACCGCATGACACAAATATACTATTTAGCACAAAAAAGTGTGATTTTTTAAACCAACAATGTAATTGTAGTTTTATTAGACTGCAAGAAATGCAGTACGCAAATGTACTATTTAGACCCCCAAAAATGCAGTATTTAAAAATGCCTAGATGTTGCCCACTGAGCTACCAGAACAGGATTAAAGTCATGTGCCTGGCACATACGCAGTTGCAAGTGCACTGCACTCTCTGTGGCACTGGGCTCAGGGCAGGGTACAAAAATGTAAAATAGCACCCACTAAAATAATCGCTGTAGTTTGAATAATCGCTGTTTGCAGATTCAACACCAGAATTCTTTCCTAAGCTGT